TATGGTGGCTAAGTGTGAGATTGCCATATAGAACATATTTAGGACAGATCCTTTCACAGCAGGTTTCAAAGAGATTCTATTCTTGCACTGCACTGGAATTTCCCAATATGATGCAGACTGTTTGTGTTTTACGAGGAGCTGGCTGAATAGCTTTTCCACTTGGCTCTGAGACATCACACCCTCCTCCTCTGCTCCTGCCTTGTTGGCAGCTGCTGCTTAGTCTTCTTTGGGGATCTTTCTTCTTTTCCCAGCTTCTGGAAGTTACAGGGTCTTAGCGTTCAGTCCAAACTTCTTGGCTTATATATTAATCTGTTTCTTTTGCTTTTAACAGAATACCTCAAAAACTGGGTAATTTGTAAAGAAAATAAAATTTATTTATTACGATTTGGAGGCTGAGAAGTCCCAAGTCTGGGGAACACATCTAGTTAGGGTCTTCTTCCTGGTGAGAACTTTACACTGACATGGTTTCACGTGGCGAGAGAATGGCCTGAGCAAGAGAGATAACCTTCTCACTTGCCCTCCTTTTAAAGGCATCCCCATCACTCCATGAATGTATTAATCCATTTGTGAGGGCACAGTACTCACAATCCAATCACCTCTTGAAATCCCCACCTTTCAAATACCATAATTGGATTTCCCACCCTCTTAACAGTTACAATAGGGTCAAGTTTCCAATATGTGAACTTTTGAGGGACATGTTTAACCTTAACATAGCAGCTTCTTTTTCTATATTGTCTCCCTAGATCTTCTCTTTCTGTCTCTTGCCTTCAAAGGCCACTGGTTTACTGATAACTGATGACTCCCGAGTTTCTGTTTCAATCTCCACTCTGACCATCAGACTTATCAGGTCACCTCTCCTCCAGCTCTCTGCACCTAGGTGTCTAAATAGGCATCTCAAACTTAACGTGTCCACTAGTGAACTCTTGATGTCCCACAACCCCCCAAAACACTTTTCCCCTAGTCTTTTCAATCTCTGTAAATGTACAACCCATTTGTCCAGGGCAAAAAATAAGTCCGTTTTAAATAAAATAAGACATTTATTCTTTTGTTTTTCTTACATACTATATCCCATCTATCAGCAAGTTCTGTTAGTTCTGTCCTCAAAATATAGATCTAGCATGGTGTGATGAGTTGATACACTTTTAATACGTCTATCCTATGGACTGTATTACAGCTATTTATTTATTTTCTAATGTTATTCGTTTTTTTAAATTTTAACTTCTCAATATGCATCGTAGTTGATTTTCTTTACCCGTTCCTCTCCCCCCCTTACTCCCCCCCATCATATCCGTTTACTAGTTTTAAAAAGTTCAAGGAATTGTTGTGATTGTTGTGTGTTGCAGCTAGTTAAAATATTCATGTTTTGAAACAGAAACCTGACTGCTTCATACCACCTCCGTCCTACTATTCTAGTCCACAGCCTGATTACCTCTCACCTGGACACTGTAATCGCCACCTAACTGGTCTCCCTACTTCTATTCTTGTCTCCCCAACCCCCTCCCTGTAGCCTGTTCTCTGTAAAGCCAACAGTCTTTCAAAAATGAAAATTGGGGCCGGCCCGGTGGCGCACTCGGTAGAGTGCGGTGCTTGGGAGCGCGGTGGCGCTTGGGAGTGTGGCGGCGCTCCCGCCGAGGGTTCAGATCCCACATAGAGACCGGTCTGCTCACTGGTTGAGCGCGGTGTGGGCGTGACACCGAGGGTTGCGATCCCGTTGCTGGTCGCGGTACGGGCGCGACACTGAGGGTTGCGATTCCGTTACCAGTCACGAAAAAAGACAAAAAGGAAAAAAAAAAATGAAAATTGAATCAGGACACCACCTTGCTCAAAATCCTCTAGTGACTTCACATCATCCTAAGAATAAAATATGAAGTGTTTTCTGTGGTCTCCGTAATCTGGCCCCTTGCTTTCATTCCCAACCTTTTTTCTATCACTCTGTTACAACTACACTGGCCTTTTTGCCCTTCCCCCAATACGTCAACCCTATTTGCACATCAAAGTCTTTGGCCTTCCCTCTGCCTGGGTTGCTTTTCCCATCACCTTTGCATGGCTGTCAGTTGAAATGGCACCTCCCTATCCAGGCTTTTCCTAATCACCTGTCTAAAATAGCTTCCCTATGCCTCACCTTGCTTTCTCTCTCTAATATACTTTCTGACCCTTTAACCCACAAATGAATTATTTCCACTTGAAATTATATGCTATATTTGTTCACATACATATTTATTTCTGTGTCTCACAGTAAAATATAAATTCCATTAAGGTAAGGGCTTTGTCTAGTTCACCAGTGTTTCACTAGCACCTAAATTAATTCCTGGCTTGTATTGGGGCCTCAGTAAATATTTATTACATAAATGAAACACATAATGACACACACACACACATATACATATATATGTGTATGTATATAATATCAGATTATTGTAGTAGGATTTGAACTATAAGATTCTGCCAACTCATTTCATTCTAACAATAACAAACTATAATATCTACTAACAATTATTGAGCTGAGTCCTCTAAAAGGATTATCTCATTTAATACACACAATAAAATTATGGTGCAGGTAGTAGTATGATCCATATTTTGCAGACATGGGCACTGAAAAATATCAGAAACCAAGGAATATGTCTAAGACCACAAGTTGGGGAGCCAGACCATGAACCCATCATTCCCATTCTAGACCGTTGCCTTCAACAGTGTATGATACTATCTTTATGTTTCTTGAACACCTCCTATGTGCCTGACGCTTGAGATGTAAATTTAAAGGTTGTAAACTACCTCGAGGGATTAGTCATCATCTGCCAGAGGAGGCAGAAACAGGAGCAAATTAGGAAACAGTACAAGAGTAGACTTCTGGACAAAACACAAACAGCCGCCTTTAACCAGAAAGCCCCAATATGCTGAGCATGAGAAGCAAGTATTTGTACAGGTTGAGTATCCTTTTTTTTTTTTTGAGGGGATCGCAACCCTCGGCACGGTGTCATCTGCACCACGCTCAGCCAGTGAGCGCACCGGCCATCCCTGTATAGGATCCGAACCCGTGGCCTTGGCGCTGCCAGCGCCGCACTCTTCCAAGTGAGCCATGGGGCCGGCCCGGATTGAGTATCCTTTATCTGAAATGCTTGGAACCAGAAGTGTGTTGCATTTAAAATTTTTTTTGGGCGGGGGGAAATATTTGCATTATATAAGTATACTTCAAAGTTGAGTATCCCAAATCTAAAAATTCGAAATCTGAAATGGTTCAATGAGCACTTCCTTTGAGTGTAATGTTGGTGCTCAAAAAATTTCACATTTTGGACCATTTCAGATTTCAGATTTTCAGATTTGGGATGCTCAACCTCTAATACAACCATTCTATGGACTATTGGCAGCAATTTAAAACACTCAGATTTCATATATTAGAAAAATGAGGCTTAAACATTTAAAAATGTATTTCACCTGAGTAAAGTATGGTACAAGTGTTGAGTTTTTTGACTTATGAGAATTATGTATATCCAGTGCAGGTGTGTGGACATGATCATTCACAGAGGCAAATGATCACAGACTGCACAATGCTAGGAACATTGGAGCCACTAGGCACATATGGCTGGTTATGTAGTTATTTTAAAGTTTAATGAAGAGATCTAGAAATTGGGGGAAATCCCTGCTTATTACGTAAGAATTCATTGACCTTAAAGCACCACCACAGGTGATAATGTCTTGCAAATGGAGCTATGTTGATCATACCCCTTAAGTTGAATGTGGGAGCAGAAATCACATTTTTTGGTCTCCCGTATTTAACATAGGCTTCTAGTACACGTTACATTATTACTTCTTAGTTTATTTTCTTTTCTTGTTTTATGTGAAAACCACATTCTGCTCACTGCTTCCACACTTTTGGTTGAGGCTGGGCTAAAACAATAGACCCATAGCCCATTATCCTGGAGGCTCTATATTATTTCATCAGAAGAATTGTTACTGGGCCGGCCCGGTGGCACACTGGAGAGTGCGCTGCTTGGGAGCGCAGCGGCGCTCCCGCTGAGGGTTCAGATCCCATGTGGAGACCGGTTCCCGCTCACTGGCTGAGCGTGGTGTGGGCGCAACACCGAGGGTTGCGATCCCGTTGCCAGTCCCCAGTACGGGTGTGACACCGAGGGTTGCGATCCCATTACTGGTCAGTAAAAAAGACAAAAGGGAAAAAAAAATTGTTACGTGTATTAGCCAGTGAGAAGATGACCAGATTGATTCAGAGAGAAAATAGTACGGGTGTGACACCGAGGGTTGCGATCCCATTACTGGTCAGTAAAAAAGACAAAAGGGAAAAAAAATTGTTACGTGTATTAGCCAGTGAGAAGATGACCAGATTGATTCAGAGAGAAAATTTTCTACCAAATGCAAATATTTTTCCTTTCTAGTCAGAACTCATGGGTGGCCTCTTTTAACCAAACATATTAATTACATGGAGAACAGCAGCATTTTAATCCCTGGGAGATGTCCAACTGCAGATCTTAGGCAATTGCATTTCTCTAGTGATGTGTTTATACAGTGGGTGTCATTTTCTTCAAAGGGCTTATTACATTGGAACTTGCCGGATGTATTGAGCACAAGAATTTCGAGGCCTGAGATAAAAATATAAACCCCTTAGGCTCTGAGCTTAAGGTGGATAACTTTTTGGTATTTACTGGAGTCCTGAAAGCTGCTGATTGTGAATGTTGTCTGTATAAAATCCAGCTTACCTTTTTCATTCAGTGCATTTTTAAAAAATGGTAAAACTCTCTCTAGATTACCTAGCTGTGCTCAGTTTTCTCTTTCTCCTATTTGGGGGTCCCAGGCACTGGAGGGTAGAAATGAGGATGTTATTCTATTAGAAAGAAGTTGCCTTTACCAGGTCCCTGTCTGGACAGATAAATCAGCAGAGTCATAGGTACACCAGCTTACTGAGCAGGTTATTTTAATTACCCTTGGATGTGGAACTTCCTGTTTTAGTTGACTGATGGTTTCTTGCGCCTTTGTCTTTTCTGCTGCAGGCACAACCCGGTCTCCAAGAGAAGGAGAAGTGCCTGGCGTGGACTATAACTTTCTGACCGTGAAGGAGTTCTTGGACCTTGAGCAGAGTGGGACTCTCCTGGAGGTTGGCACCTATGAAGGTGAGCTTATCTGTGTGGCTGCAACAAGGATGCCTGTCTCCTGGGTGCTTCAGAGGATCCAAATTCATCTAGGCAGAAATGGTTTGTGGACTAAGGAGATCTAGACAAATATTAGGAATTGTAGTTCACTTTAATATGATTAATAATAATAAGTTTATGGAGTAAGGCTTTGTGGAGCTTTTTAAAGATAGTTTTTGTTTTTCTCCAAAAGTTTTCTCCTTTATTGTCTGTGTATTGTTTTTCTAATATGGACATGCTATGGTATTAGCTAGAAGAGAAGGAAGAATTATGGTTAATCACAAAATGCGACCTTTATAGGTAGCGTTGTTCTAATCTTGGGGGAATGGAATGCCCTTTTTACCACCGTTGGTTTTTAATATATATGTTTTTAGTAGAAAATACCTTTACTTTTTTCATTAAAAAAAAAATTGACAGATATTCTGTATGTAATCTCCTTTGCATACCTGTCTTACACCTGCCCAATTTCCAACTCAGCGTTACAGTGTTACTGGTTTCTGATTACTTTTCTAAATTTCTTTATGTAAATAAACATGCGCATGTGAGTGTGTATATACACTTGTGGTTGTTCTTATTTCTTCTCTGTTTTATACAAAAGGTGGTATACAATATATGCTATTTGGTACCGTGTTCTTTTTGTTTAGCAGTATGTCTTCACAGATCTTTGTCATTCAGTAACAGAGGACTTCCTGGTTTCTTCTTTTTTAAATGCTGTATAATTCCTTTCTATGGACATACTGTTATTTATTTAACTAGTTCCCTCTTGATTTTTTGATATTTCAAAACACTGCTGTATTGAATAACATGGACATATACATTTCACACAGGTGAAAGTGTATCTATAGGATGGGATCCCACAAATGGGATTGCTAGGTCATACCCAAATGTGAGAGAAAAAAGTTATATTTTTCTGAAAATAATATTAAAGTCTGATTGCTCTTTGGAGTGTTATTATTTGAGACAGAAGTGGTGTAATGATACTGTTAACCAGATCAGATTATTAACCTGATTAAGTTATTATGTGATCTCTTTATGAACTCTTAAAATTTGGATTTATTGAACAGTCACAGGAGCATTTTAAAAATTAGACTTAAAAACAAATGGTAAATACAAAGTAGACTATTATTTTATCAGGGATAGTAGCTTTGAAGTGATAATAACCCTTATGACAGGCAATGGCTAACAGTCAAGTAATGATCACGAATCTTAGATATGCGGTTCTGGTTTGATATTTTTTGGAGGGAGAAGGTAAGGAGCATTATCTTTGTACCCACTGCTCATTCCAAACTGTGAATATACACTGGACAGTGTTTAGATGTTAATCAAATTCTGGATTGTGAGCTCAGGAACTTTTTTCCTCTTGAGTGCTGATAGTTTCCTCTTGAGTGACTTAGTTTCCTGGAAGTATTGAGATGTGACTGGCTGGCTAGTGGGCTGGGGGGGGGGGCTGAGAATGATTAAGGTATAGGAGTGCTGGGAGGGGGGTGAAGGGGATGTACAGGAGCTTTTTCAACATGTCTCATACATGTGAATCTAGCTGAAAATTCAGTGGCCGCCGACAGAGCAAGTATGAATCCTCTTTGGTTAGCAGAGAGTGAATTGTCCTTATCTAAAGTCAGGTATTATGTCCATTTGGGGAGCCTGAGGTCTGTAATACACAAAACATCCATTCACATTTTTTGGAGAGGTTAGGGGTACAAGTGGTTGTGCAAAGCAAAAGAGTTTGGGGTCAGAAAAAAAAGCTTTTGGTTTAGATGACAATTAAACTTGGAAAAAGGAAAATAAGCTCACTTTTTTTTTTTTTTTTCCTTTTTGTCTTTTTTCGTGTCCGGCAATGGATTGCAACCCTCAGTGTCGCGCCCGTACCGGACCGGACCGGCAACAGGATCGCAACCCTCGGTGTTGCGCCCGC